ACCTCCGCCTCCTGGGTTCAGGCAATTCTCCTGCCTCAGCCTCCTGAGTAGCTGGGATTACAGGCATGCGCCACCATGCCCAGCTAATGTTTTGTGTTATTAGTAGAGACAGGGTTTCACCATGTTCACCAGGATGGTCTCGATCTCTTGACCTCGTGATCCACCCGCCTCGGCCTCCCAAAGTGCTGGGATTACAGGCTTGAGCCACCGCGCCCGGCCCTTCATGCTTTTACTGGAAGTCCAGTTTCTGTGCTTTTTGCCTGATGTCTGTGGATACAATAGTAATTTCACCATGTTGGATTTTGGGTTTGTCTGCGCCCTTTTTGTATAGAGTGTATCTTCGAGAAAAAAGGAAACATGAGAGAAGTAAGATTCATTTGCAGGTCTTGTGAATGGTTTGTATTTAGGGCATGCCAATGTGGGAGTGAGAAGTTAACATTCCAGGAAGGAGGTGGCTTTGGTCAGCTTCTCTTTCCCAGGGAGAGAGAACTCATGGCAGATGGAAGGGCTGATCTCAGAGAAGACAGAAGAGCTGCTGAATTTGCAAATAGCCGAAGAAACGATCTGACCCTTCCCTGCTGCTAACCACCCAGGCCACTGTCTCGTCTGGTTAGTTACAGCAGAGCATAAGTGGTGGCCCTGCCTTCATTCGTGACCAGTCCAGCCTCCACACAGTAGCCAGAGCGAGTGTTTAAACACACACACACTGTATCTTATCTCACTTGTTGTTAGAACCCTTCACAGTTCCTGTTTCGTTCAGGATGAAATCCATGATACTGATGTGGTTACCCAAGGCCTGTGGAGTCTGGTCCACGCCTGCCTTTCCAGCCGCATTTTGGCTCCTCTGCTCTTAGTCACCTTTTCCTGAAACAGTCCACATTCCGCTAGTCTGAGGGCTTTGTCATGGATGTCTCCTTCATGGATGAACTCCGCTTTTCTGGCAGGCTCAGCTTACAGTCTTGTCCTTAAAAGACTGACACAGAGCAGCGCCTTTCCACCCAGGCAGGCCTCGCCTCTGCCGTGGCTCTCACAGCGCCTCTGCTTGTCCCAGGCACGAGGATGTGCCTAAGACGGGGTTCTTACTTGTGTTGCTCATTGCCACAGCCTTGAACTGTCTGAGAGCCATAAAGATCTCATTTCTTGAGGTCTGTCCTTGGATTAGTTCTTCTGCCTTGAGCTAATTCAGAGCAGAGATACGGTAAGGCAGTTATTTAATAATTCTGGACTAATTCACTCTTTCAACAAATACTATGTGCCAAGCCCTATTCTAAGTGATTACGATACTTCAGCAAACAACACGGACAAAAGTCCTGCTTTCTTTTTTAAGTTTATTTAAGTTTATTTTTATTTTTGTGTTTGGATGGATGGATGGATGGTGGATCGTCGGATGGATGGTGGGTGGGTGGATGGCTGGATTTTTGGGTGGTGGTTGGATGGATGGTGGAT